GGAGCGCTCTTTGACGCAGGGTCCGTTCCTTGAGAGTAGGCAGGCGGGAAAGTCTCGAGTTTGGATGCTCCCACTGCATTCTTTGGGGGACCAGAAGGCAATTCGTCAGATCGCAAGGTAGACAGATCAACCGTTTCCAGGAAGCTGATGGCAGCTTCTAGATTCGTTAGACAGTAGGCAGTTTCCCCAGTAAGCTTGGGTTCCCATCTAAAGCTCTGAATGAACCGGCTATCGCTGATGACATGCAGATTTTCCGGGGGCAGAGTGATGAGGGTGAAAATAAGCATGGGCATAACTTCGTCGGCCGACGCAGAGGGGTGAAATTGTGCGATGGTGTCGACAATACTTCGGTGTGCGGCTCTCAGGCGATTGAGCTTCCCCAAGGGATATCTGGAGTGGTGCATATGTATCAGGTCTTTCCGGGCCTGTTCCAACCAGATCTTGATTTGGTCCGTCTTCTCTTTTATAGCTTCCGGTGTCAAGCTGTTGTTGTCTCCCCCACCACTGATATCAACACCCAAGTCCGCCGGGCCAATGCCAACGAGCGACAGAGCAGCGGTCTTGGACCGGAGCTTGTCATCCTGTGCTTCATCCTGGGTGCTCTTGTGACGGTATATCCTATCGTAGATCCCCTCACAGAGGCGGCGTTCCACGGCCTCCTCCAGGTTTGCGCGCTGAGATTCAAGGGCCTTGCGAGCTTGCCTCTTATTACTGAGTTCGTCTGGCGTAAGCATCTGGTGTTCCGTCTCGGTTTTCGCCTTTTCCTTGTTCACGCTCAGTGACGAAGTCTTATTCCGAAGGCGGCTGGCTGCCGAAACGAGAGAGGATGTAGATTGGGTCGGGGCGGCGGAATCGCGGCCATGTCTAGTCGCCAGAGCATTGATGTGGGTGTGAATGTTTGTCGACGCTTGTGCGTAGAAGTCCTGGAAAAGCTGTGACAGTTTATCGATCGAAGGTGGCGTCGAATGGACTTTGGCTCCCAGAGACTCGATGAAGCTGTGATTGCGTCAGTTACCATGACCCAAGCTGACGCGGGGAGTCCATTCGCACCTGTCAGTCAAGGTGACAAGCTCGATTGGGAGCGAGTCGAGCTCTACAGACGCCCGGCTGACTTCGATACTCTCTTCGTTATCAGTATGTTCGGCGCCATCAAATGTGTCGGGCTTGTCTTCGGCGTCGTGGCGCTGTGGCTTGTGTTGGGCTCCTGGTTGGAAGGTATGCGATCGCTTAGCCAGCTTGGGGGACTCCTTGCTATCCTTCTCGGTATCGGGGTTGGGTCTCGAAGCGGATGCTGCTCTCTGCGTGCCGGGGCGACCTCCGGAGGCCTTCCTGGGGCTTGGGGGTGCCATGGATCTGTCAGAAGACTGGAACACCATCATTGTAAGTATAGTGTTACTTCGAGGGCGGCTCTGTCCAAGGATGGACGGTATCGGGAGAGGGTGTAGAAGAGGCAGGCATACCTTGAAGCCTACCTACCTGCTTGTTTGAACGTGGTAGGTATGAAGATAATGGCTGCAATACAGCTGGGTTTGTGGGTGGAGGGAGGCTAAAACAAGGCTGGAGCTTGCCGCCCGGATGTGACACCAGTCAAACTCAATGGGCTAGCGAATTGCGTCTCTGTCCTGATGGTCTAGACATGCACGAAGGCGCAGTACCGGAGCTCGGGAGTATCACGTAGCGAACGACTCGGATCACCGTGCTGCCTGCTGCACGGATTGAGGTGGAGAACGGAGGGTCGTGTTAAGTAGCGAGCGATCAAAGAATCAAATGGTATCAGCGTCGCAATTAGCGAACACGGATCCCGTTATGAATTGGCTAGCTGGGCATCAGGTGGGCGTGGCTATCCAAGGCATGGAACTTCGGACACGAGATGACAGCCGCTTCTAGCACCAGCGATGGTCCCTAAGACTCCAGCTAAGCTTCCTCGCCGACCAACTACATACGGGCCTGCGTAGATGGAGATGTTCCGGTACGCGGTGGTGTCATCATCATCGAACCGCTGAAGCTTACAGGGGGCCAGTGCCTACCTTGTCTGTAGGGGTACTCTACCCTGTAAAGTGGGTGACAGAAGAAGTGAGACACTATACTGACGAGCAAATATAGTAAGGCATACTAAAGTTGCAATACGCAGTATGATGTTACAATTAAAACAACATAATCCAGTAATATAAATTATGCTATCCGGATATTTGTCAATTATCAGTCCGAAATACTCAACAATACTCATGATAACTCCCGAAGGATTAGGACTGGAGATATGATGTCTCATTTCTTCTGTCACTGGGTGCCCGTCTGGAGGCTCAAGACAGTACGTACCCTAGACCTCATAGTTCCAGGATGCTTGCTACCATTCCAAACCCGAACACGTTTGAGTGGGAAATATCGGTTTTTTCTTTCTCGGAGTTGTTCATATTTCAGTACAATGACAGTAAGAAATGCGGATACCAGAGAATCAATTGTCGACAGTTTGCTAGCGCATGGCTTCCGGAAGATAATACCATGCTTTTTGAAATCTTAACACAGGAAACCGACGAGGCTAGGACAGTATCAAGCGCTCCCTCTAGCCTTCTAGGCTTGCTAATTTATCGTCCTCACAAAAATCGACTGGCTGTTAGCTCCTCTAAATCCCTGCCCGTCTTTCTTTCTCGCAGGCTTACGAAGGTATTTTACTTTACTTGAAAATGGGTTTTAGGGACTTTCCTTCCCGCGGTCGGCTCAATGCATTTGCAGGACACCATTTGTCCGGTAGGTGCTCGATTGTTTCTGGACACTGTACATGGTTGTACTCATCATTTCTATTGATATTGTCGGCTGTTCCGGTCTTTAACTCTTGCAAGGGTTTGAAATCCCGTGCTCTTCTCTGCAGAAATTGGTAAAGGAGCCCCTTCGACTTAAGCCAGCCTTCTCGATCCTTGCTCACGTGTTGCGGAATCCTTGCCACATCTAACTCAGGCTCTGCCTCGGTCTCTTTCTCGGGTTCTTTAAACGGCTGGCACCGGATCTCCCAGGATAGTATCGTGCGTACTCAGTTGAGATCTGCCTCTAATGTCTTGGTGGTTTCCATCAAGGTTAGAATGTCATCTGAGGTTCTAAATCTATGTCAATACAACTCTTCAACCATTACCCGCGGCAGCGTATCTATTGTCTAATATTCGGCATCTACATTCTTTAAATGTGTTCGATAGCTTATAATCGAGCCCGGGACAGCTTGAATGACGTAGAGCCAATAGTAAATAAGTCGATTTGTGAGAGTTGCCGCGAGACGGCATTGAAACGGTGCCAAAGGTACGTTGGTGATTACAGATTGGCTCCTTAGATCAGCATCCACCTGCATGCCCTTTTTATTTTTCTCTGCATCCGTTTTGCGTTCTGTTGCTTTTCTTTGCAGGCTTTCAAAATGCATGATTTCATCATCAAGTAGACTCTGAAAGCTACCTCGCTAGTCATAAGTTAATTAATCACCAAATTAGAGCATTCATTCTCCAGCTCGCATGTCAGGCTGGGTTTTGGTCATAGAATCTGGGGAATCTCATGAGAATCGGACTCGCCCTTAAGCGTACGCAGCATATCTAGGCAATTAGAATAAAACTGGTCAAATGATGCCTGCCTGCGAGATAAACGACCTGGCCGATGAAGTGAGCAACACAATAGTTTCCGAGCGGGAATATTACATTTTTCAGCGATGCGGTTGGGTGTGGCTACGGACAGCCGTGAATCAAACCATCAGACAACCACACCGTCGCGACCTAGTTGCCAGCGCACCAACATCGTGGCCTAGAGGAATTAGATTAAACTGATTCAAAATAATGATAGTATATTCTACGTCTTATTACCGCTCTTCTATGGAGCCTAGTAATCTACAATTATTTCTGTTGTGGTAGTATAGAGTATTCGTATCTACACCATACCATTCTGAGGAATTTTACGTTATACATTGTGTATTTAGAGGCTCGCAATCCTCAACACCCGGTTAGCTCAATCGGTAGAGCGTGGGGCTTTTCATTCAAACAAAGTTTGATATCAGGAGAAGACGTGTTTGCGCAAGACCCTGATTATGAGAATTCGGATATCTCACGTGTCACGCGGTTCCGGCCCTTGATATCGCAAATGGAAACTTTGCCTCTTATGAGACATGCAAACTGGCAGTCAAGGGTCCGACCTTGAAGATGTATCGGTGGCACAGTTTAGTCTCATACAGCGTGGAGTTGCTGTGGGCTCTTCCCCTCCAGTGATCATTCCAGGAGTGATCATACACGACGACTTGTAGACATTCAGTGAAGGTCAGGGGGGAAGTTCCAAAAGCTTTCTGAGAATAATCCATATAAACTTGAGCTTTTCCTATCATTGTGTTGGTTATTGTAAGTTAACACTTCGATAAATCCGCAGCCCCTGTTACCCCACATCTTACCCCACGGGGGTATTCATCGACCAGGTACTACAGGTCAGTACTCAGACTACTACAAACATGGACGTAGATGTCCTCCACCATCCGTGAATATTTGGGATAGTCTAGATAGCATACGCATAAAAATGGTACGAAGAGCAATGAGGGATCGGATTTGGATGGATCAAGCAAAAGGCTGGATAGGCACTAGGCTATGCATGTCTCACTCCGTTTGCGTCTCAGAGACGCTACTACCTAGGTATTGATTAGCAGCGATACCTAGGTAGGTACACCCCTGACGCGATGGCCATGCGGGGTAGCAGATAATTGATTGATCTTCATTGGAACAAGACATGACTGGGATCAGCTCCCGGGCGCTCTTGACGCAGAATGCCGTTGCTGAGCCGATGGTATACCGTGGATAAGTACTAAGCGATGCCGAGCTTGAACCGCTTTACCCGCCCCATCCCCAAGCATCAGCCCCGTCGTCGGATTATACATATCATCGGTTCAGCGTAGTATCTGGTAGTCATCATCTTGATTTCCACGCCCAAGCCAAGCCCTGTCACTTCTCGTTTAAAAACACACATACTCTGCTTCGTCCGTTCGCGCCACCATGTCTGGGCCCCCGTCGCGGCTGCGCTCCATCCTCAACCATCTCACCGGTGAGGGCGGCAGCAAAAGCAGCCAAACGGCGACGCCGCCTCACATCCACCATCTGTCGCCCACCTTCTTCCTCGAGCGCGCCGTCGCCATTGAGCCCCAGGGAGAGGCCATCGTCCACGTCACAGCCAACGGCGTCCCCATCCGCCGCACCTACCAGGAATTCGCCGACCGCGCCCGCGGCCTCGCCTACTATCTCAAGAAGAAGGGCCTGAAGCGCGTCGGCGTCCTGGCGCCCAACACACCAGCTTTCCTCGAGGTGTGTAACCCCCTTGGCCTTTGTAGGTCTAAATTCTTTCTGCATGTTCGTTAACATCCTGCTCTTAGGCCATCTTTGGCATTGTAGCCGCAGCAGGAACCATCGTGCCGGCAAACTATAGGCTGTCAGAGGAGGAGATCTCCTACATCTTTGAGTTCGCCGAGGTGGACTGCATCATCGCCGATGATGAGTTTGCGCATCTCTTGAGCGCGTTTCGGAGGAAGAAGGGCGACGTGCCCGTGATCGTTGATCTGGACACCGACGTGAAGGAGGGGCCCTCCAGTGGTCAGTACGACCAGGCTGTTCTGGAAGGTCTGCAGTATGATGTCGAGAATGGCTCTGCTGGCTGGGAGGGGCTGCACTCCAAGAAGGACGATGAGGATGACATGATTGCGATCCCCTTCACATCCGGGACCACTTCGCGGCCAAAGGGCGTTGTGTACACTCACAGAGGGGCTTATCTAGCTTCCTTGGCGAATGTCGTCGAGTCCAACCTAAATCAAGGTCGCTGCAGATATCTGTGGACATTACCAATGTGAGTGCCGCCAAATGGAGGAGACATGGGCAAAAGAAAGCCTGTTTGAACTTTGGCTGATGCAGATGGCGATGCAACAGGTTCCACGCCATCGGATGGACTTATCCATGGGCGGTCGTGGCAGTGCGTGGTATCCACGTCTGCCTCAGAAAGATCAACTACCCTCTGATCTGGAAGCTACTGAAAGAAGAGAAGATCACTCATTTCAATGCTGCACCGACCGTCAACACTCTTCTGGTAGCCAGCGAGGACGCGGAAAGACTCCCTCAAAAGGTCCATGTCACCGTTGCCGCAAGCCCGCCCACTGGATATCTCTTTGAACAGATGGTATGACATCCACCGCTTCCAACCCATTGCAACGCACCCGGGAAGATGGGCATGCTGACACTGATTTCCGTTAAAGACGAAATTGAATCTCCACCCCATACATGTATATGGAATGACTGGTATGTGCACTACTACCGAAGAAATATAAATTCTTCGGTTCTCCTCTTCCATGTCACCCACTGACCAATGTCATATTTTAGAAACATATGGCCCTGTCACTAAATCGTACCCCATGCCAGAGTGGGAGGAGCTGCCAGACCAAGAGAAATACGCCAAGATGGCAAGGCAAGGTCACGGGTTCATTTCCAGTCTGCCCGTTTGCGTCATCAAGCCTGATCAGCCCGAGGGGGTCCTCATCAACGTCGCCAAGAACGGCTTCGAAGTCGGGGAGATCGTCTTCGCTGGAAACAGCTGCGCCAAGGGTTACTTCAAGGACGAGGAGGCGACCAGGAAGCTCTTCGCGGGTGGGGTTTTGCATTCTGGAGACCTGGCCGTGTGGCACCCCGATGGTAGCATTCAGATCTTTGATCGATCAAAGGATATCATCATCTCCGGAGGCGAGAACATCTCCTCGGTTGCGCTGGAGTCTCTACTGATTGAGCACGAGGACATCCTCGAGGCAGGCGTGGTGTCAGTGCCCGACGAGCGTTGGGGCGAGAGTCCAAAGGCGTATGTCACGGTGAAGCAGGGGAAGACGCTCAAGGGGGAGGACGTGATTGCCTGGGCCAGGGATAACGGTCGGATCAGCCGGTTCATGGTGCCGAGGGAGGTGGAGATTATTGATGAGCTCCCAAAGACAAGCACTGGTAAGATTGAGAAGAAGAAACTGCGGGCCATGGCTACTGCCAAAGACGAGTAGTGAGCTCAAATCGTTGGGATACCGGGATGTATGATCCGAGAGAGTAGGAGAGAGCCTCGGGAGATGCCATAAGTCAACATGTATGCCCAGAGAGGATTGGTAGCCATATTAGAAGTACTAATACTACGTCACATTAGCAGGAAATCGTGCTCCAAGCTTTCCTTCATCGAACCCATCTAGAACGGACATGTCTGTATCATCAAGCCCGAAATCAAACACCTGAGCGTTCTCTCGAATTCTCTCTGGGTTCTCACTTTTCGGGAGTGGTATCCAGCCTTTTTGTAGGCTATATCGAATAAGAACTTGTGTAGGTGATTTCCCGTTCTTGGTCGCAATTAGTTTCAGCTTTGGGTCGCTAAGTCTTGCCCCAGTTGCCAGAGGGCTGTATGCTTGAAGTATAATGTTGTTATCTCGGCAGTATTTGACCAACTCTCGTTGCTGGCACCAAGGGTGTAGCTGCGAATAAGTTAATTTTAGTTAACAAACTCAGAGAAGGCATAATTTTAGAGATGTCGGAAAGACACACGCCAGTGCCTACCTCAATTTGGTTGACGTGTGGAGGCCATATGCTTGCATACTCCTTCAGCTCCTCGAGGTGGTTGATACCAAAGTTGCTGACTCCGATGGCCTTGACTCTACCTTCAGCATGGAACTTCTCCAGAGCAAGCCACACGTCTTTTACAGATCCGTTGCGGAACCTTGGGGTATGGATCAGAAAGAGGTCGACATATCCATCCCGGCCTCCTCCCAAAGCCTCAATGCTGCTGAGAAGACTATGGCGAAGCTCATCGGCGCCCCCGCGCCACTGCTTGATCTTGGTTGCCAAGAACACTTCTTCCCGGGGAACAGGTGATTCTGCAACGGCAGCACCGACTTCGGCCTCGGATCTGTAAAGCTGTGCACAGTCGATGTGGCGGTAGCCATGCCGCAAAGCGCTGAGACATGCAGCCTTGCACGCGTCTGGGGGGATTTTGTAAACTCCAAATCCTAAAATCGGGATGCGTAGGCCTGCGTTTCCAATGAGGAGGGTCTTTCGTAGACTTTGTGTTCTTTCAATCGCCATGTTTCATGCGAGTTGCTTTGTTTAGTTTTGGTGATGAACGGCTGACTCACTTCCGGAGCACATTGATGTTTGTTTAGTTGTTCTCCACTAACGGAGAGCAATCGACCACTCCATCAGCTATTCTAAACAGACAAAAGCCATAACCTCCGAGCCTCAACTCAACAACTTCCGAGAGAAGTGGGATTTTTTTTTGGTTTCTCAACTGATGAGTGGAGTGAGTTATGAAAGATCAGCAGAATTCTGCTGGCCGTTTCACTCCCGGGTAGCCAGTTATCGCTATTAGTCCTACGATGGCAAGTGGGTGACATGAGAAATAAGACACCAAATGGAAGAGTGGTTGAAAAGAGACTCTCTTCTAATTTGAATCGAGAAATACAGTAGTATAAAATGAAATATAGTTATAATATATGCCGTATTATCTCTGAAGTTTGTATTTTTAGTACTCAATAATCTGATAATACCGGCCACAGACTCGAGAATAAGCAGCTTAATGTTTGTTTCATGCCACCCACTTTGGATGGTTCTGGGTAATAGGGTGGAGAGGGAGCTATAGTATGACCTGATCATTATGCAAGTGACCCCACCAAACAAAAATTGATAGAATCGAACGGAATCGAAGACAAGGCTGATAGTTGTTTGTTTGTCGCCATTGGATGCCGTTTCCGCATGATACAACAATGCTACCCAACTTCCTCGAAACGCCGCCATCCATTCGTCTTTCCATCAATCCTCGGCTGCATGGCGCTCCGCCGCGGGCACTAAATCTTCGCGACGGCTGTAGAAGGTTCGCTGCAAGGTTTAGGTGGGCACTCCACTGACGCTGCTGTCACTCTGACAGCAGCTAAGTGGGAGCCTTACGTCACATCACCAAAGGGCACTCGCTTCGGTGGGGGGTCATTCCATCCCACCAGCTGGCCATGCTCCCTCGTCTTCTTTTCCTGGAGAATAAACTCCATGCCATTGCCACGTTTGAGGACATCTCATCGAGGCTCAATTCCTCCCTGCGCCCCCCCGAGAAACTCACATCCTTATTCACCATAACCAAACATCTATCTTGCTCGGGTCAGAATATGACTGAACTGCCAGGACGGCCCGCCGTGGCCCTTGCGACAAGCGCTTCCCCAGGCGCCGATGTGCTCCTTCGCCCAATACGAGGGAGCTGTGGCTGTGGAAGAAACCGATTCATCGTTACTTTGCCAACCGATGGCATTCACCAAGCACAGGTCCTCTTCAACACCGACCCCGTCCATCGTCAGTCGAATCGCCCCTACCGGCACCCAATGGGATCCTCGGTCTTCCTCTTCTTGTCAGTTACGGACCCATAGCTAACATTAACTCGCAGAGGTCCCTCTGGGCACCCCGCTGGCCGCCTACCTGCGCGTGCCTCTCTCCTGGTATCACAGCACGACCTTCGCCCAGTTCCCCGACGAGACCCACGCGATGATCCGAAGAGTCTACACGCCTCCCAACCGGGGCTCCCCGATGCGACATTTCTGCGGCTTCTGCGGCACGCCCCTCTCCTACTGGTGCGAGAATCCCATCAGCGAAGCCTCTTTTATCAGCCTCACCCTCGGGAGCCTCCTGCAAGATGATCTACGGGATCTCGAGGACATGGGACTGCTCCCCGACGACAGATCGGACAGCGAGCAAGAGGCGAAGGAGGGAGAGGGCGAAGAGGGGCCTGCAAGCCCGGGTCTCAGATTGGCCATGCGAGAATCATACGGCGTCCCGTGGTTTGATGGGCTGGTCGAAGGGACTCGCTTGGGGAGGATGAGGCGGACGCAGGGCATCCGGAGCTCTGGGGATGGCAGGGTGAGGGTTGAGTGGGAGATTGTGGAGTTTGATGGCGATGACGAAGATGCCAACGAAGGACAGGAAATGGATGTGGACACAGCGCCCGCGGCTGGCGGGAAGCGGAAGCGCGAGAGCACAGATGCGGCAAGCAATCTGAAATAATGACCACGTTTGGAGGTGCGATTTCGTATATGATCTTTTCTTTCTTGTGTTCTAATATCTTGGCAAAAAGGGAAGGTGGTGATGGTTCAGAAGTTTGCGGGCAGGCGTGCTCGGAGTTGAGCATGAGTTGCGACGCATCTGGATGGTGAAGGCCGAGGTTCGGAGAATAAGCCCGTGGCTAGCAACACAAAACGCAGGAAGAGTGATTTCTGGACTTTAGGATCAGTAGCAGACTCTCGGATAGGGTTCATCTGATGCCATAGCATCAATGTTTTACAGTTAATATATATCGGATTGTTTGCTATTGAGGTGCTCTGATGCGAATCATCCAGTTTCCACTCCCACTGCAAAAGCAACAGACGTAACAATGGGGTGCCGGCGATCATTTGGCTCGTTACTGTGAGCAGTGAATACTCATTGCTTTGGACCTCGGGCTTCTCGGGACGGGAGTTGAGCTGAACGTTATTTTTCCTTAAATAGACCTTCCTCCACGGGTCATACATCGTAAGTTAGCTTCTGCTAGCTGGCGCTTGGCATTGCTGTTGGTAGGCTGGCCGTGAGAAGAGGACACGACGGTGTATCTTGTGCTGGCCGTGCCAATTGGTCTCGAGGCCGGGAGAATTATGTGATTGTTCCCAAGTAATACCTAGGTAGGCAAGCAAGGCAATATTATATGATATTATTAGCAGTTGATGACATTGGCTACACTGTGACTCTGGATAGGTGTGGGGTCTCTGGCCGGAGAGACGGGCCGGCGTGTCGTTTCGGCCAAGTTCCCACGGAACCGAAGCGTCGAGTCGTTGCTCCAGAGGCTGAGGAGAGCTAGAGGAGGGACCCTGCAATCAGGTCAATCCTCACTTAGACGGCCACCTGCCTGCAGCCTGGGCCGGCAGGGACCCCACGGTGTCGACGAGGCTGGCGTCGCAGCCGGCGGGAACAACTTATCCCTCCAGTCACTCGCAGCCGTTTCCCCAGCAGCGCTCGAGGTTTCGGAACTGCTCCAGCCAGGCACCTACGTTATGTGACGGAATGGCTGCAGGCCTGCATGCGACCCCTACCCGGCTGCCCCTTCCCTCCCTACCTCCTCCCCTGCCGCGCCGGGCTACCCTAAGCTCTGTTGGGCAACGGACCCCCGAGACTGGGCTGCACAAGCGAAACCCCCACAAACCCTCGACTGTCCCTCCTTCTCTCTCCACTCCCCTTGGGAGCCTTCTCCTCATCGTGGTCTCAGTCCCTCAGCTAACGACCACGTCGCTTTCGGTCGCCACGGTCCGATACCAGTCACTTGGCTCGTGGACACGGGACCCTTTGCCAGGGCCATTCCATGCTATAAAACATGGACTCCCCGGTGGTTGAGCTCCAGATGGAAGTCTTCACTTTACCTCCCTCTTCATACGATTGTCCCCTCTCTGTCCGACACAGACAGCGAAACTGTAACGCCATAAAGGTCGTCTACCAAAGACGACTGATAGAGTAGTGGGCTATCTGTTAGCCCAAGTGTCTCCCTCCTTTATAGATACTTTCAAATCACACCAACCATGGCTGCACTGCCAAGCGACTTCCAATGGGGATTTGCTACAGCCTCGTATGTGAAACTGATTCCGTCTTTGACGTGTATATCTTCGCTGTTGGTAACATTTATCTAACTGTTGCTTGGTCAGATATCAAATTGAGGGTGCAGTTGACAAGGATGGTCGTGGCCCGAGTGTCTGGGACACCTTCTGCAAGCTCCCTGGCAAGATTGCCGGCGGGGTCTCGGGTGATGTAGCCTGTGACTCCTACAACCGGACTGCCGAGGACATTGCCTTGCTCAAGTCTGTCGGCGCAACTGCCTATCGCTTCTCGCTCTCCTGGACTCGCATAATCCCCGTTGGTGGTCGTGGCGATCCCATCAACCAGGCTGGTATCGACCACTACGCCAAGTTCATCGATGACCTGCTTGCCAACGGCATCACGCCCTTCCTCACTCTGTCACATTGGGATGTTCCTGATGGGCTCGAGAAGCGATACGGCGGCGTCTTGAACCGTACCGAGTTTCCCCTGGACTTTGAGCATTTCGCCCGTGTGTGCTTCAAGGCTTTCCCCAAGGTCAAGCACTGGGTCACCTTCAACGAGCCGTGGTGCTCTTCTATCCACGGTTATTGGTCCGGCCAGTTTGCCCCCGGGCGTGGTTCGAACCGCGAGAAGAACCCCGAGGGTGATAGCACTACTGAACCCTGGATTGCCGGCCACAACTTGCTGGTTGCACACGGTCGTGCCGTCAAGGTCTACCGTGAGGAATTCAAGCCGACCAATGGTGGAGAGATTGGAATTGTTCTCAACGGCGACGCCGTGTTCCCCTGGGATGCCACTGACCCTGAAGATGTGGCTGCCTGCGACCGCAAGATTGAGTTCTCCATCTGCTGGTTTGGCGACCCAGTCTACTTTGGCGAGTACCCTGCTTCGATGCGCAAACAACTCGGCGACCGTCTGCCCACATTCACTCCAGAAGAGAAGGCGCTTGTTCAAGGCTCAAACGACTTTTACGGAATGAACCACTACTGTGCCAACTACATCAAGCACCGCACAGGAGAGCCCGAGCCAGACGACCACATGGGGCACCTGGAGGCCCTTTTCTACAACAAGAGAGGTGACTGCATCGGCAAAGAGACCCAATCCACATGGCTGCGCCCCTGTGCTCCCGGCTTCCGCGACCTGCTCGTTTGGCTCAGCAAGCGATACAACTACCCCAAGATCTTCGTGACTGAGAATGGAACCAGCATCAAGGGGGAGAACGACCTTCCAAAGGAGCAGATTCTTGAGGACGACTTCCGTGTGCAGTACTTCGACGACTACGTCAAGGCAATGGCCACTGCTTCGGCTCTGGACGGCGTCAACGTCCGCGGCTACTTTGCCTGGTCTCTCCTGGATAACTTTGAGTGGGCTGAGGGATATGAGACGCGGTTTGGTGTCACTTACGTAGATTACGAGAACGGACAGACGCGGTACCCAAAGAAGAGCGCAAAGAGCCTTAAGCCTCTCTTTGATAGCCTGATCCGGAAGGACTAAGCAATGCACATTTTTACGTGACAACAATGAAAGGGCCAATAAAGAGAGATGGACTGTAACAGAGATTAGTGTATGGTTTAAGTTGTGATGCTATGATGAAAGGGAAATCAATGTACTTTGCTCTTGCTCCAAGACTGGGTATCAAATGAAGATTTTGGCTATGCCTCTTCCCGTATCTATACCTATACCCTCGAGGTTACATTCTATGCTCCGATTTTCAATACCCCAACACACCCCTTGACCCCTGATGGGTTTTGGCCATCCGTAACGGTCTCCTTCTCTTCTAGACGAGCCGCGGAGCCCTTTACTTCTTCGTCTGGAGATACCTCCGTACCACTAGTCGATTCGGGGCCTGATCGCGGCAGAGGACTGTTGTTACCCCCCACCTCTCGCCTCTGCTCTGGGGTTTGAAGGTCAACGCTCTCAGACTCCTCCAGATCTGCCTTGCGGCCCTTTTCTACGTATCTCTTGAGGAAAAAGACGAGGATTTGGGCGATGAACACCTAGTGAGAACACAGGTAAGACAACGTATACGAAACATTTGATGAAACACGATAATGTCGGGTTCAACTAACCTGCTCAATCGTGTACAACAAGACGGGGATCTGGATGTACGCGCGGGTCAGGTTGTCCGAGTCTTTCCACATGGCCGTCACGAGCGGGATGCCGAGACTTGTCGTCTTGGCCGCCCCGCAGAAGCACACGGCGACGGTCTGCTCCCTCGACATGCGCTTCAGCGCAATGATACGCTTCACCCAGGACGGCAGGTTCCTAGTGAGCTTGAATTCGGTCAGGATTGGGTTGACGGCCCTGAGGAGCCACAGGGGCGGGCGAGCAGAGTAGAAGCAGATGATGGTGAAGATGAGGTAAAGTCCGACGTTTATGAAGACGTTGAAGATCACGGAGGATGCTGATAGCTGGTAGAGTGCGCCCGTTTCGAAGGCTCCAGAGAAGGTTGTCCTTTTTACTTCTGTCAACACTCTTGCGTGCAGAGGAATAGGATAAGAGGAGCCCATGCTTACCAGACGAGAAGAATGAGGCATAGGCCGGAGATCTTATTCAGCATGAACTTCTGCAGAACCCAGACCGTCCTTTCCTCCCACAGCGCCCTTACGACCTGGCCGACGATGAGCGGCAGCAGGACGCTCAGCCCCATCTGCTGTGCCACGTTTGCGTACATGTTGCTGAGGGTGCTGGGGTCGGCCGGCCGCCACGCGTCGAAGACGGAGCCGGTGGGCATGAACCCGTAGATGAGGATGGGGGAGAGGAAGGAGCCGATGATGTTGCCAAACACCACGCAGACGATGGCGGCCGCATCGTCGCCACCCGAGGCCCGGGTCATGACGACGTTGGAGGCGATCGTCGTGGGGATGCACGATACCACCAGCATGCCGATGATGACGGGCAGAGAAGGCGTGCCGCTTTCCAACGAACCGCCAGCAATACATATATGGAGGACCGCTATATCCACGATAGTTCTCTTGTTAGCACGAATTTTGTTCCTTCTTGAACTGGAAAAAAGGAAAGGAGACATGGAAGCCATTTACCAAGCATGATGGCAGGGATCACGGCGAAACTGATGCCTTGGACTATGATATGAAGCCTCCAGTTTGTGACATTTTTTCGCAGCTTGCTGAAGGGGAGCGACAGGCCACTGACGAGGAAGATGAATGCCACGGCGCCATAGACGATGCTATATTCACTCCTGATCACGCCTCCGTGGGCAGCAACATCTGTCAAGAACACAAAATCGTTAGCCCTCCGCCGATTAATACATGGCTCCTGCGCTACGGTACGGCTTTTTTGCTATTTCCTTTCTTGCGCGCAACGGAGCTTTCAAGTTCAGGGTTAAATCTGCTATATTACTTACGAGGAAAAAAGTGTCCCAGCAGGCACGCCAGCCCGAAGCCGATTGTGAGCCACTGACTGATTACGAAGTCGGCGACCTGGCGCAACCTCGCCAGGAACCCAGCCTTCTTCTCCTGCTCCGTCTCTGGTTCGGGGGAAGAATCTGCCATCGTGGGAGAGGGGACCGTCTTCGAGCCCAGACAAGGGGCTTCATATGAAGAAAAGCTCAAAACTACGACGCATTCCGAGAAATTGTTGCATTTCCAGGTTTCATTGCTGTTAAATGAACCTCCGGACAAACACTACTGCGTTGGTGGATTTTCTCGCTGACTGGGCCGAAGCCCGGCCTCTGCTCGATATCCTTGTGGGCCAGAGAGCGAACGTCCGGCTTATTACCTGGGCTTGGCCGATGTCGTGATCTGCACCGTCGGAGAAGTCGCCGATTGACTTGTGACTATACCTAGCACGTTGGGACGGGATTGGCCGGGCTGCTGGGTTGTCTCGCAATTGCGCCGATTTTGAAATTATTTCAAGGGTTTGCTTAAAGTGACGATTTGCCTTTGCTGTTGGTCCCTGGCAATGTTTGGAGGAAACTGATGGCAAAGTTGGACGTTATTACTTTATTTATCTGATGATAGGGAAAAGCCTTGCTAGAAAAACAATTGTCTAGAACCGAGATGTTGACTCTTTAGCTGCTTGATAGGATAATATTGGCCAGAAAACAACACAGCATACTGTTGATTCGGAAGCAACGTACGGCATACTGATTTATTGCTGGAGCTAACACCGCCAATCAGTATGCCCAGTACGAGAACTCGGCATCCGAGGCTGAGCGCACGATGCCTTGGTATTGCGCAGCTCATGCCACCGTTAATAACTACCATGCATACATATACGTGAGACTGGGCATATCTAAACCTTAAGCAAATAGAATTGGTCATCGAGACGTTTGTGTGTTACAACTCGAATTAGGTCTAGGACACTGCTTGGTATACCTAAGAAATTAGGCTTGACCACCAGGGCCAGTGTATTATCAAAAGGTAATCAAGTAAAGGAAACCCTATGGTAAACCTTGAATAAACTACCAAATAACGCTGGGGCATTTCCCCGTTATAACGGACAAAATCAGAAACAGGAAACTCAATGGGTATCTAATGAGGCGATATTACAAGTCTAGCTCGGGATTGTGCGACGCTTCAGTTTATGCGGCCGGTTGAAGTCAGACTTCGATTAAGACGGCAGATTATTAAGTCTTCATTTTCCGCCTGTCAGAACATGGCTGACGTCGGAACGGAATGCTAAATGCAAGTGAGGCTGCAACACCTTCCATCTATGCAGCAGCCATGACTGGCGAGAAAGCCGCCGATGCGTCATCCGCACTAGTGCTTGGAGCTTCTGCTATCTCAGGGTCTGGTATCTGAATATCCAACTACAATTGCACATGTTAGTTCTGAAAGACTCGAGAGGGATTATCAACAATAACTCACAGTTGTATATCCTGTCCTCCGCAGTGATATGATACGTGGAGAAGCTCCTGCATCCTCTGCACCCATAGATTTTTCCATTTCCAGATTCCAGTTTTCGATCCATTTTTCCAGGTTATTGAGTCGGCTTTTCGCGCCGGTGAAGCCAAGATCGTCCCACAGCCATCCTGTGGCAGCACCCAAAACGCCATCTAGTAGGTTTCGCGGATTGTATGGATCAAAGGCTGGAGCAACTTCTGCATTCACCTTGTCAATAACCCGACGGAACTCCTGCTCTGACAGCCCCGCGGGGTCTAGAATTTCGGGATATAGGTTTGAAAAGGTGGGGGCAAGATCTCCTTTGAGCATCCAGTCTCGCTTGATCCGGATAACCCTTGTGGATGTGTACTCTGGTGATTCGAGGGGAACATGAGGATTCATGTGAGGGAAACAGGGATGTCCAGGCCCCCACTCCTCTTCATTGGGATCAACCTCTTCACCCATGATTGAAGAGTTGCTTGATGAGATCATTGACCCTATGCCGTCGCCTGCTGATACCGTCGAGTTTCGTGGGTGCAGATCCCGCAGGCCGCTCTCCAAGTCCGGAAGGCCGGACCCACCCAGTTCTTTGGCCTCAGCAGCCATGATGATATCCTGATTGTATTTGTTGGTGCGCTGTACTCTCCTTCCGGCCCTGACTCCGGGTAATGCTTGCTCAGTGTGTGATGCGTCGCCAGAAGACTTGCCAGCCTGAGGCTGCAACGCGTTCCCGTCAGAAGAGTGTCGTACTGACTTGGGCAAAGACACGCGATGATTATTGGTCGCGATACGGTCCGCTTGAGGGCTTTGGCGGGCGAGGTCGGAGTGTCGGGCCTGACGCAGCTGTGGGAGCGTCAACAGGGGATGATCGGCAGAACCAGCAAGTGGATCAGAGTTTTCTGTCGAGTTGGCAAGCGATGGATGATCAAGAGGCACAGAGGGAGGAGGCGGCGTTGAGGGTCGACGTAGTCGGCGATGCCGTTTACTTTGCTCACCGCAAGGGATTGCGCGAGGAGTCGAGTTGGTAGGATTCCAGAGGCGAGACGCTGGAGTTCGGTGGGGGCTTCTGGACTTGCGTGTCGGTGTGAGGGCTCGAGGAAGAGGTTGGAGTTTGGAGACGACTGGCTCAGATGCCGCTGCTGGTGGAATGTGCCCGGATTGCAGGTTGTGGGATGGTTTTTGGGGCTTCGAGTTATCGTCAGGGGGAATGCGACCTGCTACTTTGGCATCCAGGCCGCGGTGTAGTGGAAGCGCCAGGGAGGTGGAGGACGGCGGCTGCTGGCCGTGGGGAGCCGTGGGAAAGACCAGGGGAGGCACAGCCGCCACTAACGTGACGGTCCGCGCTACGAGGTGAGTGGTTGTTGATTGGACTGGCACTGGAGAGCCTGCCGATTGATAAATCACAGGCGCAATTGATGGCTGTCGGTAACTTTGGATCTGAATCTGACGGCTTGCTGGGGTTGCTTTGGGGGGAGGGAGAAGGAATCAAACCTTCCCATCGTCTGCTGGTAAATCAATAAAACTAGTAGGCACAGGGACCAGTCAGCCAACCACGACGGGCTTAGCGGGAGCAAGGAGACCGGCATTGGACTTCGGTATTAGCGGCTGGGTACTTACTCAGAGGTGTAAAAAGTCGTAACTATCAACTTTAGATATTGATTCTTTCATTATTGCCTGGTTGAAGCAGAGTATTACCAACAGAAAAGGACTCAATTTGAGCTGAGAGATAGATATATTTTGGAAGAGGTGTGTGTGTTGCTGAGACCTGCTTAAGGTGTGCCTCAGCTGAACAAACACTCCATGTGGCTAGTGAGACAGAAAAGGGTGAGCGATAAGAGATAAGCCGTTGTCGGCTAAGCGAGAGTCTACCAGTGTAGTGACGTTACCTGTTAATCTATGACAGCGTCAACAGCTCGCATGAAAACGTTGGATATGCACGGTGCTGCAGGTCGAAATGAAGTTCCATTGTGCGCAATCTCGCGTGGATATGTCCTGCGTCCGCAGCCCTTGAATTTTGGAGACGCTTTGCAACAATGTTACCTTACAGTGACCTTCATAGACAGACTCCCTAACCCTGCTCTTCATGTAAGGGGCCGTGTTGTGCCTTCTTCCACCACCGCTGCTACCCCAGATTTGGATCAAGTGACGTGATGTTCCCATTCCTCAGCTCTTAGTCGATGTGCGGCACGCGCCCCGAAATGTATTGCATCCAACCTACGCTACCGTACCTGGTACCTATAACACATTCCATATCATCGACTCACCTCATCCCCGTTGTGAATGACGGACTGACTGCAATCGCCCAAATCCCTGCGAAGCTCTGCAGATGCATTGTCGCCATGGCCGATGAAAACGTTGCGGGGGGTTCCCGGTCGCCAGGCCCGGCGCCGAGTACATCTAATAAGGCGACAACGTCAGGCTTCAGCGCCACCTCAGCCCCGGCCCCCAGCCAGGGACTCCGTCGCTCGTTCACTCTCGATGAGACGCGACGAAAGCTGCCGCCGAGGAGGCCGTCGCCCGTGAGTGATGCGTCGCTCCCTGGAATCCCTCGTCGCAGGAGCTCCAATTTCACCGAGTATAGCCTTGGAGAGGCACGCGACATCCTCAATCCCCGAGCAAAACAGAGTGGAGAGCTACCGTCAACCGAGTCATCCTCACTGGCCTCAGCATCATTAGCCTTTGCGCTGCTTCCTGCGATCGCAGGCGCTGTATTCAAAAATGGCAGCGCTATAGCCACCGATCTGATGTTACTCGGCCTCGCTGGTGTGTTCCTCCACTGGTCAGTCACACAGCCATGGTGAGTTTATATTCTAAACGAATGCTTGTTCTCTACTTTCCTCCGATCCTTCCTTTCGCATTTAGAAATTCCCGGGGACTTATTCAAACTAATAATAAATGAAATCTTACTATAGGGCTTGGTATCATTCGGCACAAGAAGTCCGGGCCCAGCATGAAGTGAACGGTGAATCCGCCTTGGATGAGGAGAGTGGCTCTGAGTTTGAGGGCGACGATCCTTTGGGCCGGAGCAGCACTTCTCTTGAGGACGTTCCCGAGGATGACTCGATATCTCCGATCAATGAAACCCAGACAGAACCACGCAAATCAACTTCGCGACAGAGGTCTGCACTTCGGGAGCTATACAGATATGAAGTAATGGCCCTGTTTGCTTGCTTCATTCTCCCCATTGCGAGTGCATACTTGCTACACACCATACGGGCGCAACTAAGCCGCCCGTCTGAAGGTTTAGTATCCAACTATAACCTTACGATTTTCACTCTGGTGTCCGAGCTGCGTGTCTTTTCTCACATGTTTAAGCTTGTACAGTCTCGGACACTTCACCTCCAGCGGATCGTCCATGATAACCCCTATGAGTCTCATTCCATGAATAACAGAAATTTGAACGACATTTCTGAGAGGTTAACAAAACTCGAGGCACGCTTTGAAACCGAGGAACGTGTGCCACAGAAACAGCAAGATGTGGACTCCGTGGTAATGACTGCTGTCTCCCGAGATGTTCGCAATGCCATTCAGCCTGAACTGGATGCCCTAAACCGCGCGGTTCGCCGCTATGAAAAGAAGGCAACTGTACTTCAATTTCAAACGGATTCCCGCTTCTCAATGCTGGAGTCTAAAATGGATGACGCTATTGCGCTTGCTGCAGCTGCAGCTAAGAACAGCGCAGCACACAACAATGTTCTGATATGGATATTCGAGTCCATTGCCGGCCTGATCTTAATACCAATCAACGCTATCCTGCATGTTTTGCTACTTCCTATTCGATCTTTTCTCAACCTGACCTCACGAAAAAGAGAGAAACCTGCTTCATTGAAAGCATCACGAGCGGCCAAAGGCAACAGCAGCAAAGCCTCTGTTCAGGCGAGATATAGTGGTGACCGGGTGCCCACCAGAGTGTCCAAGAGATAATGTGTATCGCTTAGCTACGTTTTCCAACGTTTTGCCGACTCTACTTGCGTCTATTACTAGCTGTTTTCTAGCCACCTTGAAATGGTAAACAAGCTTCGCCAGAAGATACACGGCTGGCAGCTCATTTGGGAACCGAGGGGCAGGAAGACCTCAAACCGTTCAAACGCGGTGGTTTTGGAGCAAGTAGTTAGTTCACTTGATAGCGAAGTAACCCTAATTGGATTTTTTTTTTACTTATGATCTTTTCTCATCATCGCCGGGCCGGAGACATGAGCTTGCGATTCAACCAGCTGAGCCAAGTAAATCTCAGGGCTGCCGATGCTTGCTCAATCCACCAAGCACAACGCGGTCTCGGAGATCGCGACGCGACTACGGTCCGTGCTGTGACAAATTGAATATGGATTGTCTTGGAAATCTCACAATGCAAACGGTGGATTTTTTTTTTTAAAAAGTGCTCCGAACTCACACTCTCCGGATGCTTGTCCTTGCTGATAGCACCACACCCCTTTCCTCAGGCAAAATCTAGGCCCAGAGCCTTGGACGAGGTGAACACAGGACGTCGTATTTCTCTCGGCGAGGCGGTACTTCAAATGTCTTGCCTCCCAGCAGTCGCTGGCCAACTACGGTGAGTCTATGAGTGGGCGGTATGGCGGAAATAGCTCTCGTGTCTCACCATACATGTATGTTTGCCCTCGACTGGAGCAGACTACCTCTTTTTGCTTGGCCGACGGGAACTGATGCTCCTTGTACTTCTGCAGCTCCCCAGACCGATTTTTTGCGGTGTGGAAAGTTGCCGGTGGCAAAACCGTATTCACATTGTCTGAACCCCGATTGACATTGACGGTGAGTAGGACCTCAGGGTTTCACATGTCTGACAATGGCCCTCTGAATATCGTATCAGGGATACATCTCGACCGGGGGCTCTTTTGCTTTGGGGGGATCTCCCTGCCAACTCTTCGGAGTGGAAGAAACTGCGTGTCTTTTGATACTTGGGCGAATTTCTCCCCTGAAACCATGTACTGTCTACTCCCGCAGTGACTGTTTTGATTGTCTCATGTGCAACGACTTGAAACACCAGAGCGGAATATGTATCTCATTGCCAGGGGGATCGGCAATTGCAGTGCTGTGTGGTGTGCAAGTGACAAGCCAGGATGACGTTGGTGGATGGGTATATTCAAAAGCATGAGCTGAAGATTTGAGCAGAGCTCATATCCTCGTGGATGATAAGGCGGCGAATCGTGATGTTACCATTGATGGTTCGGTGTCTCGCCTTAGTAGAGAAGGCAAGCAAGTCCCCAGCCATGTCTTTTATTTCCCCGCCCCGGGCAAACTCTATGGTGGTTCATGTTCGTCGTATTCGGGGCGGTTGATCTTCAACCGCGTCTCACTCTGTTTGAGTTCGTCCAACTACTGTGCCTGCCCGGATTGCCGGGTTGTTTGGTGATCCTTAAGTGCAAGCCCTTCAACTCTGCGTCTTCAGCGGGCCGGTGAGTCCCAAATGTCCAGAAGATGGGCAATTTGGCCTGACCCTACATTGCCAAGATTGCTCATCTACATACACGGTCACTTGTGCTGTATATGGCCTTTTTTTACGTCGCTGATATTTGCCAATCTTAAGGTCGGAACTTGCCGTAGGTTTAGTGATCAACCAGATTCCCAGCCTTCAATATACTGTCCAAGCCAACATGGAATCAGCTTAGATGCAGCATTATCGGGCATCTCAAGAGCAGGAAGGTTTGGCCCGGCGTACAGTTTGACTGATTACCTGCACTCTACGCGCTATGGAGCGCCAAGGGAATAACGCGTTCCTGGATCTCGGCACGATCGGCCAGCCCAAATGGCTACTGGTAGCGTTGCTGGTGAGTGGGCTTGGTCATCCATCGCGGGAAACAGGGGTTATGAAGTCATGGCGGAACTAATCAAACTCTATCAGAGGCGCTACTGAACAATGCTAGCAGAGTGCGTATGGGCTTGCAAGCTGGTCGTAGTCGCCGGATGCTGCCAGGGATTCCGGCTTACATAGAGTATATTCGAGTGAGGATCGTCCTCATTCGGTTCAAGGGCAACATTCGGAGGTTTGGTTCTCGGTGCGGGTTGATTGTCTCGGGTACACAACTCGGAGAGAACGTCACCAGCGCGAACTCGTAGCTCCGTATGTGTCTTTGCTTTATTAGTTGGCGCAGGAAAAGTCCCGGATGTTTCTGGGCGCACGTATTCGCTTTGTAAGACGCCGGCAGGGCCAGAAGCTCAGAATCACTGTTGGACGAGGCGCCGGGCGGTGATGTAAACCCGCCTCGGTACACTTGCACAATGTATTACATGCTATTCTTGCGAGGAGTCACAAGAGGAGCGGTCATAGGCCAATCCTCATGAGGTCATGGTTTATTTCCCGAGACCAAGGCGCAGAAATCTCCCTATTGGGGGGTGCAACCTTTGAACAACTAGTCGAGCTGACAATCGAGATTTTGTTCGTCGCGTGATGCTCATCCTTGCCTAATTTCAGAACGGCGTGAGCCCACAGAGGCGATGGAAGCAGAAAAAAAGAAAGAAAATTTCTCCTAGTTCGGATCACCGGACGGGGTCGGGTCTGATGATAATATCGTGGGACGCGCAACTGATTGCTCGATCTCAAAGTGGACCTTTAATCTTAAAAGCGCGTCCATCGACGGCGGCCATTGCGGTAGCGCATGCGCCAAGCGGTTGTAGTATTCACAAGCTAGATTCATCTTCAATACTGATGCTTGGATTGGTCGTACGAACGAGAGCTGAGATGGGCTGTCCGAGCCTTCCACAACGGAGCGGCTGTTAGCCAAGCGTCAGGTAGCATTTGAACAGTACGGGCTTTCCTGTAACACAAGTTGGGGGGTAGAGTCACATCTGCGTAGATCACAGAGCAGGTGAGGGGACTATGGTGCCCCAAGACTTCTGAAGTCTTTCAGCTCATCTCGGCAGTGCGAGGAAGCCAGATCCCATGACCAACAAGATACAATGAGGACTTTGAGCTTGAACGTCAAATTGAGGGCCGGCAATGCAGGGCACACATGCGGAGCACACCGCCCACCTCACCGTTCATAGTGAAGGAGGGAAGACGACGAACAATTATGCAGGTCTCGGCCTGCTGGAAAAGTGGCGGTCGGTTCCTCGAGACAACATCGGCTGGCGTGCTCTGCTGGCTGAGCTGGCAGACTAGGACCTATTTTCTCTGCGGGTGTGAGTTGTCCAGCGAGCAACGCTGACGGGGAGGGTTCACAGCTCTGACTGATGAGTTGGCGTCCATACTATGGACGAAAATGTCTCTCGACTAATCAAGCCTTGCATGTGCCTAATGTACATGCAGGTCTCCCATGCAGGGTATGATGGCCTCCTCGCAGCTGGGGGGAAACGAGGCACACGCAGGCTGCTGCAAGCCCGACACTTCCAGCCGCTCAAAATGGAAGGGAGTGGACAGCCACGAAAAGCTCGACTGCCCACGAGAGGGCATCCGCTTGGTCGGGAGGTGGGGATCCTCAGGGGTTCAGTCGACCGGCCCATCTCCAAGGATCCAATAAATGCCTAATCTGGGCAGCTAATCTTAAACTTAAGTGATTGCAGGAAGGCGGCCGTGCGAGAGTCAGTATGCCATACGGCCTTGCTTGCTTTGCTCATGCCACCTGGACAATGATTCGCAAGCCATCTGACAAGCTTTTCGAGGGCGAAGGTTTGGAGTTGGTTATCGACGAGCTGCGGTTCGATTGAGCAGGTGCGGGGGGAAGTTATGCCGATCTGATTTGGGGTTAGCGGGAGAGAACATCGGGCTCACATTTTTATGCATTGCAGCCAAAGATAGAAAACGGTCCTTAGAACGGGTCTATTTCAGCTCCGTTTGGTCCATGCTTTAATCAATGGATGGATCTCGATAAAGCTGGAGGCATGTAACAAAGATGAGTATAGTGCCTATAGCTGGAAAAGAAAATGTCGATATTGGAGATGAAGAGATTGATCATTTCCTTCAACGCGACGATGTGCTGCAGGTAAGATCTGTTACTGGACGTCAAGTTAGCTTTGACATTGGCATAACACCCACCGCAGCCTGAGAATACTTGCATGTGAATCAGTCTACGCGGTATTGGCCAAGTCAGCCTTAAGCCACAGCATTTTTCCTCCGCCACCGCATAGACATGCCTCCCCATAGGGCTCATCTTGGCCACGATCCGTGAATTTTCAATGCAAGCTGAAAGAGCTGAGTGAGACAGCGTGGTGATTAATGGGATCTCGGAGTCCGGATTGGCCATCAGCTCAGCCATTGACCTGCGCGTCTGCGATGGTGGGCAGAGCTGAACTCGCTCCCATAGTCCCAACAGTCGCCCAAAGCGGAGAGGACCACATGCGAGCGGCTAATTATGGGGCTCCCAATAATGCGACGACCAAACACCACCCCGTAAATAACGGTCAATGCTGTTGTTCGTGCTTTATGCACGGGTAATACACAGCCCCAGCGTCAGTGCCAGTGCGACATATTAGGGGACTCCTGCATTGACATGAGTCGTCTGAAGGTGCTCGCATGAGAGGTGAAAGTGGCCCCTGACCGAGGCGAAACACGCATTGGGATCGTATCTTGGGCCGTGATGACGCTTGGTTTGGGTGAGTTGCATGCATTGAGCATGAATTCATCACCCGCGAAAATCAAAGCTATTCTTGCTGATCATCCGTCGGTATCACTTTTATTTCGGACACCTACCCAGCGATTGGCACGGGGGCAAGGGCATTGAGCAACCCGATGATGGGCAGCAGGGCAGGCGGCAAGGATGGCAATGACCACTGGATTCTGGCAGAGTCGGACGAACAAGGTGGTCTGAGCTAGAGAGGTCCGATCTCAACGCGCACTGTATCGCGTCCGCGCTTGTTATACTGTCCCCAGCACCCAGCTATACCCATCGCACGATGTTGTAGAGGGGAGCTCCCACGATAGCTGCAGTCACAGTGGAGCTGGTTCAGGTGGTGCCTGGCTGGCAGACCGGTCTAGCAGGACAGCAGGGGGCCAGCGTGCAGCTCGAGGGCCCGGGCGGGGAATTACCCTCACAACGGGTGCACCGCTGCCTGCCCAGAAGGCCAAGAGGGACTCGGATGAGGGGCTGAGGGCTCTCGGCAGTGAGGCGCTAACCCTAGCGGCCAGCAGGCCTGTCGACCCAGCTGGAGCAAGGACCGCTGTGGGTGGGCAGGTCAGCGAGCTGGCACGCCGGCCGGCACACCCCCCCTGCCATCGCAATCTTGGACAGATGCCGACCAGGGTCGATCGCTTCCAACCACACCTCCCATCACCCCATCACCAGTTTCATTCGCGCCTTGCTCGCCGCCAATTCGAATGACACGCACAGCAAACGTGGAGACATGCGGCCAATTGCGGCATCTCCATTGTGTGCCATGCACCGTTCTGGGCTGAGAAAAAAAAAACCATTGCTAAAATATGGTTGCTGCACCATGGGACCCCCATGCTTCCACGATGCCCTGGATGACGGCTGGCTGGCTGGCGTTGCTTATGGATGTGCGATCAGATCAATGACGGGGTTTGTTCGCATCGCTACTTTTCTCTCCCAGCCTGCCCAGTCCTACCACCTCCTTGAGTTCTCTTAGACCTGTTGGACCCCTCATTCTCTCAGCTCATCCTTGGCTTTCTGCGCTTGTTTGTTTGTGTATTCTCGAAGGCTGGATCTGCACATTCGAACCTTAACCGTGCACGCCTTCCTTGACTGTGGTGTTGCACATATTGATACCACCCAGAGTCGTCCGTACCCGCCTCTGGATCCCGGCCTCCTCGCCTTGTATTTTCCTTCTTTCCCCTCTCTTGGCTCGCCAGGCATTGCGGCTGGATTTCCTTCCTTCCCGAGTTGACCTCCAGTTCATTGTCTTGCTTGGTTCCACCCGCTGGTTCACTTTCATCAGACGGCGCCGCTATCCCCCCGCCACTGGGTGCTTCGAGGTGTCTCACAGCTTCAATACGATACCATACGCCCATTCGCCAAAGCCCTTCGGGAACCCACTAGCTATTTCAAGTCTTTCTTTTTTGAATTGTGTCTATTGCTTACTTAACTGCCTTTGCTCTCTCCCGGTTGCTGGCGATCCTGATCATGCTTCAAGGCTCCAACCGTCTTGTGTTGAGGAGCTCCAAGATTTGAACTTCCTCTCTACCCAACCTATTGCTCCAGTGTCAACAGCGCTTGGGGTCAGCTGGGCATTACTCTGTTGCCAAAATGGTTCCCAGGCCTGCCTTGACCAAGGCGCTTTTGTGCCTGCTCTTTGCCCTACAGCTCACAGCAGCCTCTCGAATCGATTTACATCGTCGACAAGACGACCAATCCTCCTCTCTCATTACCACAGGAACCGAGTCAAAACCTACCCAAACGCGACAGCCCAGCTCAGATCAGACAAACAGTGACGGTTCGTCCGTGGCCGAGACGAATGCTCCCAAGACCACCACGGTTAAGACGGGAGACGATGCTACCACAGACACTGCCACAGCGACTACATCCAGTGAGCTTTCAGTTTCGACAAATGGGACACTGAGCGACGATGTATTCCAAAATGGTAGGGCACTCCAAGCTAGACCCTAGATGGGTGTCTTCTTAGTCTCGACGACTGCTAACCACTTATTTCTTCCAGTCACTATACCGGCCGGCGAGCTTCCACTGGCGCCCGTTCTCACGCCTGGATGGGGTGTAGCTGGTGCCTTTATGCTTATCGCTGGCGGAGCCTATACTCTGGTTGGTATCAGGAACCGAACCGTCCACGCCTTCCTTTCAGTTGCCTTCTCGACCGCCCTAGGAATTGCTGTCCTCATCATCTACGTTATGAACCCGCCGATCAGCAACGCATTACAAGGGGGCTATGTTGCAGCCGCTATCCTCTCAGGCTGTGCTCTGGGAGTTGGCTCTATATTTTTCAAGGACCTAACTGAAGGCTTGGGTTGCGCGCTGGGTGGGTTCTGTGTTAGTATGTGGCTTTTGACTCTGGTCCCTGGCGGACTGCTCACCACCGTTGCATCTAAGGCTGCCTTCATCGCATCTTTTACCGTTGTCGGCGGTGCCTTTTATGTGAGCCATTACACTCGGGACTGGGCGTTGATCTCGATGATTTCCTTTGCTGGTGGCACGATAGCTGTTCTGGGTATTGACTGTTTTAGTCGTGCTGGCCTGAAGGAATTCTGGGCATATGTCTGGGGCTTGAACAAGAACCTGTTTCCGCTGGGTGCGGATACGTATCCAGTCACAAAAGGAATTCGCGTGCAATCGGCTGCCATTATCATCATTTGCTTTGTCGGCGTCATTTCTCAAATCAAGCTTTGGAGAGTTGTTAGACAAAAGAGAGTACAGCGGGCGGCAGAACGGGCAAAGGAACAGCGAGATCTGGAAGCCGAGGAAGCGAATGTTGGACGTCAAATAGAGGAGACTACTGCTCGTGATCGACGCGCTTGGGAGAGAGAATATGGCAATGCGGAAACCGGAAATTCTTCGCTTTCTGACAACGCGAGCGAAAAAAGACTGCGAGAGAGCGACAACTATTCGATCAAACCTGCATCAGAGCCCCAGGTTTACGAGATGGCTGATATGACGGATTCTGACCGCAGCAGGCACCAAGCGGAACCCCTCGAGAAAGACATGGATGGAAAGGTTACCGTCCGAGTTGCTGCAGATGATGCCCCTGACGACTCACCATTCACCGACGATGGCAACGATGATCCTAAGATCCGCAGTAGCAGAACCTCCACAAGTCAAAGTCTCAGTATCTCTGCTGAGAAGCGTCGTCAATCACAGGAGCCAACCTCGACCGAAGTACCGCAAGTAGTCCCTCTGCCATTTGTCGTACCTGAAAGCCAGGACGAAGAGAAAGAGAGCGATCGGTCTTCCGTTGCTACATTTGCGGATGATGAGAGGAATGTGGAGGCGGGATCCCGCCGGCATTCGCTGGCTAATCGCCTATCGACAGGTTCGTCGAAACTCTTTCGAGGTCTCTCTCAACGCTCAAGCAACACAAAGCGTGGTTCTAGGCACTTGCAAGATGAAGACTCCGAGGAGTTGGTGATTGCTTCAAAGGTAGATCGCGAGGATGATGAATCTTCGCTGGCCGTCACACTCGATCGCCAGAGCCTCGATAGCGACCGTCGTTCTGCTCTTGGTGGTGTCGAACTCAAAGATATCGAAATCACTGCTCGACTCTCACAGGATGATACCCAACGGTTACAATCCGAATCTAATCAGGATGCGAAGAAGCATTTGTCGGCCAATACCGTCTCCGAGACTTTGACAAGTGCCCAGAATGATATCAAGACAGCGAATAGCCACCTCGAGGACCCCAACTCTACATCCCAAAACGGCCACACGGAGAAACCCAAATCGGCTACATCCGGAGTGTCAGCTCGAGCTAGCCTTACTAAAGACCACCTGCCTCGAACCCTGTCACGAGTTGCATTGTCATACCGAACTAATGAATGGGCTAAGCACCTTGCCTATGCCGATACTCCTGATCCCGAGGATATTACCATCGCTGAAGTCCCAAAGGCCACAAAGAGAGATTCTCAGCAAGAACGTGTAGCTCCTGTGAACATCGAGGAGTTACAGCAAGGGATGGCCGATGGCGTTCCACCTCCTGCGATTATCCGATCCGATTCAAGAAATTCAGTGGCTTCGCTCAACCATGTTATGGCTAAGAGAGATTCGAAGCAGAGTCTTAAAATGTCTGCTGGTTCCCCATCTCCCGACAAAGACATTCAGCAGCTCAGCCCACCGATAAACCCGACCCCTATGTCCCGGTCATCATCTGCCATGGCCATGCGCCGAAACTCTCCTCACTTTGAGCCTATCGTGGAAGAGCACGACTCGTCCAAATTGGGCAACGACTACATGGGCGAGACTTTGCGTTCCAAGGGCTCCATTCCCGGAGTAAAATCTTTTAATAGCCCGCAAACTCTCATTGGGCAGCGTGAATTATTCCTTCGAAACAAATCACAAGGCAATCTTCTGGCGAACAATGTTCATGAGCAGTACGCTAGCATCCAGCCAACACCCAGCGATGCTGGTTCGCTTCATAACTACCCGATGTATGCAGCTGCCTTGGCCTCTGACCCTGATGACATCCCTCTTAGCCAACGCAAGCAGTTAATGCATCGACAAAATAGTCTATCGGCCTTGTCCGGTAGCCCAGCCATCCCACACATGGCCAGCTCTCCTGACCTTCCCCAGAGCAGCTCGTTCAACTCGCACCAGCCACAGCGCGGTTCCAACCTCCCCACATCTGCAGTGCGGGAAGCTCAACTCGCAAACTTTCGTTCCTCCGTACAACATGATCTACGTTCAGGTAGTGCGTTAGTGAGCGGCTCCAGTCGGGAAACGCCCTTTGCGTCTACAAATAATTTGCTCTCTGGCCGTGAAGCTGAGGTGCAACGCAGCATCGAAATGCAGCGGAACATGCTCCTCAACCAAAAGGACCAAGAGGCGCAGCGCAAGGAGATGACTAGGCTCGAGAAAGAATGGGCTGACAGGGTCTTTGACGAAAGGATGCGCAGTGGAGAGTTGATGGACGCCCACCGCTCAGTCATGAGAAAGATGCAGAATAACGCCAAGGAGTAACAGAATAAATCTGCCTTCACAACCAACCAAAACAACACTGGGATGAGACCACACATTCTCAACAACACACTCTCTAATACCGATAAACACTCGAACTCTTACCATGCACTACTCTTTACTTACCAGCAATTCTTGGCATATTCATATCGAGCTGTTGCAACATCCCTCTTTTACACATATGCGCAAATCCGAGCCCATTTTATGAGTAAAGACGACTATGAAACGTTCTCTCATCTTGATTACATTTTACAATAAATTTCTTTTTCTTTTCTTTTTCTATTGATACCAGTGGATATTGGGTATTGGGAGCTCAATGGGGATCTAACCGCTTTGGCACAATTTGGAGCAAGGGCATCTTAATACATTTTGGGTGAGAGGGAAAAAAAGCGGCTGTACATAAAACGGGTGATACCAATTGGGGCTTAATGGGTCATGTCTGATTTAGGTGCTAAAGGTATATTATATTCACTTCGCGTATAATGCGATGATCAATAGTAATTTAGTTCTTACTACTCTCGCCATCCTTATTAGTTCTGTCCGAGATGTTCCTGCCCCGCGAGCACTTCCTGCTCTGAAGACAGAAGAGATTTCAATCTAAAACAATGAACGTGGGGATAAAAGAGAATCGCTCCTTAGAGTTGGATGTGAATTCGACGCCCTCGCCTAACGCAATGCAAGATGCAAGGAACTCAGACTGAAACAGATGCTGGCGATAGGGTATAGTAGAAGCAAAATTATGAGAGAAGAAACAAGATACAAAGACTAAGTTGAAACAGAGGTGTTCAAGAAAGGAGGGAAGGTTGGAAAGCTCTCCCAGAAGGAGAATCCGACGGCACTCGCCATCCACCGCAGCGCGGGCACCGGCCTTGGGAGCGCACCTAGCGCTGCTGCTGCTGCTGAGGAGGAGGAGGTGGCGGTGGACTCGCCTCGGACGTCTCCGTGGTCAGCATGGTTTTGATGACGACGGCCTGCGGCGGCGGGGCCATGTTTGGAACGGCGGAGAACTTGGCGTTTTGGTTGAGCTCGTGGGTGTTGTTGCTGTCGACCAGCCTTGCCTCGTCGTCGGACCAGACCCGTGTGCGGATGCCCGAGGGTCCGCATGACCAGCGGTCTGGCTGGGGGGAGTCGAGGGGCAGATGCTGGGCCTCTGGGTCGACGTTTGCGGTTCTCCGGGAGCGTCCGAGGAAGGAGGGGAGTTTGTACGGGCCCGGGAAGCTGAAGATGTTCCGGAAGGGGATGAGGTTATAGCGGACGGACCGGGGGACGTGCTCGGCGGCTGGAGTTGATGGCCTCCTGGGGGCAACGGAGGGGGGTGGCGGCTGAGGGAAGGTCTGACCCTGGTTGGGAGAGGTCATGTAGTTCAGGGAGTGAAGCTGGTGATGGGTGCTCTGGCCGGAGGCGGAGCTGAAGCTGCCCAGGACACGAGAGGAGGTGAAGGTCTGCCGTTTATGGTCCGCGGTTCTGTGTGAATATTAGCAACTGGTTAGAGATTTGAGTCTAGGAGCGGCTGAATAAACCTACGTGCTAGATGATGCCAATTGGGTGGTCCCAAAAGAGCTGGAGTTCTCCATGGCTGACCTGTCTGGGTCGTACTCCTGATGGAGTCTGGGAAAGAATTTACCCAGGCGAAGAAAGAGGAGGATCTTTCTGTAGTCGTTCATAGCATCTTTTGTCATTCCGAAGAAGATGAAGATGGGAATGGCGGTTAGGATAGAGATGTAGGCGACGTTCATGGGACCGAAGCTGATATTGTTGGATGTGACGTAGAGGACCGAGTTCCAGGGATAAGGATGGACCTTGTTGTGTATTTTATCATAGTTGTACGGCTGAAGTGCCCCTGTGCTGGTGACATTCCGGACGAAGAAGAGGATGGTGATCGGGAGGAACGGGGTAAGGATGGAGATGACCATGAGATAGAGTCGGCGTCGAGTTCGCTGCGCGCGTTGGCTCGCTACCCGGTTGCTGGACAGAGCTGATGCCGTGGATTTGGCCACTTCTCGGAACCGGAAGTATGCCAAAACTAAGTAGGAATGTCAGCCATGTTTTTGGAAGGAAATCAAGGGGAAGAAGTGGCTTTGGGGCGACTAGGCCAGAGACTTACCTGCGTAACAACCTGTCGCTATCGGTACAAGAACGTTTGGAACAACGAATATGGCGATGTAAGGCCAAGAACCGTGGGCAAGCCATTGGCAGCCAACCAAGGTTCCGATGGCATACCGCTGTTCGGCCAAGGGCCAGGTCATGGCAACCTGGAGGAGAGGCAACGGGAACATGATGAGAGCCTGGACCATGTTTCGCTTCCGTTTCTCTCTTGCCGTCAGGGGGTTGGCACGGAGAAGACCGACCTGTTGAGCCAAGTTGCGCATGATGGCCAAGAGGCAAGTCACATAGAGACTGCCGAGGAAGTTGCTGAAAAAGGAGGCCATATCGCAGATGCCGAAGCCAGCATACCAGTTCTGTGTGTTGTCGTCTCTCCAGAGGAGTGAGTTGAGAATGGTCTGGATGTTCTTGATCTCGACTGCAATGATGAAGACGACGGCGGAGAATTCCCCATTTCGGCCCAGGAGTCTGAGGGGGACCAGGCAGACCAGATTGGCCACGACTGCGAGGAGAACTCGCATCACCAAGTTGGCCGTCAACGAAGGAGTAGTATAAGGTGGTACAGAGGGGAAAGAGATGATCATGGGACCATCTCCACGGGCATGTAAATGCATACCGGTACCACCGGCGAGGCCTGCGTCCAGGGCGAAGGAGGAGGTCGACGATATCATGATCAAGACATGGAACCAAGAACGGGGGTGAAGTCAAGAGATAGGGAAAAGACAGATGTCAGGATGGTTTGCAGTATTTTGGTAGAAGTATTGGGAGGTGTAGAAGTAGATGATGATCCAGTCGAGCTCGTCTTTACAGAGATGAGATGAGTTACGAGGTAGAAGGATCTAGGGGGGGCGAGATGTGTACTTGTCATGGCCACGATGCAACTTATACGAAGTATTCTACATTGATTAACAGGATCAAGGCCGGCGAAAAAGCAATCTGAGATGCCAGCACTTGATTGATAGAGGCTACGGTCAATAAGCTAAGGTGCCACAGTGGGCGACAATAATTCAAAACATGATAGATCAGCTCCTCTAGCAGCAAACAGTGGGAGTACCTATTGAGACACTCTTATAATTCGCATAAAAAGAGTTTGAAGGAGTGTGATAGGCGTTGCAAGCCTGTTCAGCCTGGAGGTTTGGCGTTAATAGAGCGCTATTGTGAGGGCTGTATTGACACCCAAATCGGGCAATTTTGGCTTGTCGCTACCGGGATTGCTGGTTCAGCCTCGTCCACTTAACTTACATGACGTTTACAACGGCCGGGAAAGGCTTAATCACCTTTATACGATGGAAGAATTACATGGGTTTTAGGTATCTCCGTAAAACAGCCCGTCGAGTAGTTAGAATGATGGCCAAAAAGTGCATAGAAAGAGGAGCAGACAAAAAAGAATTACCTGTCACCCGATGCGAGACTCGAACTCGCAACCCTAGGATGACTTTTAACCACCAGAGGAGCAACCTCAAGATTAAAAATCCCATACGCTAACCAATTGCGCCAACCGGGTAATGTTCGGTAACACTGTGATTACAGTATCAGGTCAAGTAGGATAGAGCGGGCGGATGTGTGAAAACTACCTACTAGGCAGAGGTGTTTGTTTCCTCTGTATCGATGTATGGAGAGGCGGTATCTGGAGGAACAGCTATCTGGACGGGGCCACAACTAACGATCAGACTTAACGCAGTGACTGGCTCCTTACACCGATAGCTAGGCAGAATTCTTCAGTTTAAAACACGAACACCACAGACGAAGGAAATTATTCATGCTTCGGCACCTAGATGCAGGGTTGGAGAGCTAAGAAGGGAAAGCAAGGGAAGGGGGTTCATGCTGATCAATGCATTAAACGGTCAGACATGCAAAAGCTGGGCAGTTGATGGTCGGGCGGGGGGTTTCAGTGGCACGCAGCCAATCACAGCGCCGTTGTACCTTAGGCCTGGGAAGCGGTGGAAGAGGTTAGGCGCGTGTGTCCCCAACTAAAAACGCGGCCGCATTTATCTCCCACCCTACCTCATCGCACAGCTACGGGTGCTCTTCCCTCCCTCCCACCATCATCCAATCCACCATCTACAGTCCTCTCAGACCCCAATCCAGCCAAACGACTCGCGCTCTCCCAGTGAGACCAAAGCAAATTTATCAACATGTCTTCTTTCCTCTTCCGTCGTGCTGCCGTCGCATCGGCCTCCACCGCCCGCGCTTTCAGCACCACCTCGCCCCGATCCATTGCTAAGATCTCCATCATCGGCAACCTCGCCGACACCCCTGAGCTCTACCAGACCTCCTCCGGCCGCGAAATCGTCCGATATGCTGTCGCCAGCAACAGCGGTCCCAAGGAGAACCGCCAGACCAGCTGGTTCCGCGTCGCTACCTTCGCTGAGGGCCCCCGCCGTGACTTCATGCTTAGCCTTCCCCGCGGGTACGTCGTGCTCTAGAGCTGTCGCAACAAGACTCGCATTAACATTTTCGCGCCTAGCTCCCTCGTCTACGTTGAGGGCGATGCCTCCGTGAACGTCTACCAAGATGCCGAGGGCAAGAACCGCTCCTCCCTCAACATCGTCCAGCGTACGTGCCATGCCTCGCCCTCCCCCATTCGAGAGGGGCAGACGACGGACCACTGTATCAATCAATTCACAACTGACTGACCATTGCTACATAGGCACCATTGAGGTTCTCAAGCGCCCTGCTGCCCCTGCTGCCGCCGAGTCTGAGGAGCAACACTAAGCTTTTATCAATCCTTGGATTAATCAAGGTGGGGGGCCATGTCCCAATTCAGCCCTCTATCCCTTTGCGACCACAGCCTCGGCTTAGGCTGTGTATGACCAGACACTCCTATCATGAAATTTTGGTTTTTTTGTTAATGTACCTTCCGAACTGGCGGCACACTGGGGTTTGTGTGTGATGATGTACTTGTTGAGACTAGGACCTTTGTAACTCGATACCATAATGCTACTTGCTATGTATGATGTACCAAGATGTCCATTTGCGCACTGCTAGCCGCGTGTCTTGCCTATAACAAGCATCATCCTCAAGGCATTGGATGGCTTCCATGGGTGTGGGATTATAACGGCGCACGTTATTGGCCTCCTCGCAGGAAAGTATCCGATACGCGGTAGTGGCGCAGTGTTTGATGATCACCAACTTTAAGCATCATTGGCTAAGACGCTCAATCGGACTCGCCTCTAGTCATGAAACTTTACCGTCACAAATACGGTACTGGTACTACATTGAGAGGGCATGCGAATCTGAGTGGCAGTTTTCTGTTATTTGTATTCTATAACCCTCCAGACAAAAAACGCACACCCTTGGTTTGTCCTAGCGAAGGAGGCTACCTATATGAGGGAGACGCTATCCATGCAGCCATATCCAGCAGCCACCCCGCCCTCCTCGCTCTGATCACCCTTGGTTCGAAGCAGGTAGCCGTGCTCCTTGTTGTGCTTGACCTCCCCAGTCTTTTGATCCCAGACACAGGATCCGAAGACACCAAGCTCGCAAATAACACCGCCCTTTTCGATTTGGCCGTTGCGGAGGATGATGTTGGACACCGGGGGCGGCGTGATGAGTTCCATGAGAATGTACGAATTCCAGTGCGCTTCGGGGATGGTTTTGAGAAACTCTGGGATGGCGGTGCGGTAGATGTTGTTGCCTCCGCCTTCCCTTTGGGGCTTAAGCACGTAGGCTTTGCAGAGCTCTGGGTCCAGGGCCTTCTTTCTTGCCTCCAGGCCGGAATCCGAGGTGTCCATGGGGTAGATGTTGGTGAAAGTCTTCCAAAGCTCCTGCGCTTCCTTTGTGCTGTCGTCGATGAACTTCCCCAGGATTGAAGGCTCGGTGGACGGCCGCGGTGTGGCGAGGATTTGCTGGACCTTCTTGATGCCGGCCACTTGGGTCAGAACCGTGGGGCACTTGATCGCGTTTGAGCGCTCCAGATGGTACCGGGCGTCCCAGGCTCGTTGGTCGGGGTAGTCGTCGGGTCCGTAGCCTGCCCGGATGTAGACGACCGCCACTTCGTACACTCTGGAGGGGTTTTGAGGGGGGCGGTAGAGAAGCTGTCGTTTCTCGGTATCTGCAAGCGATGTGTATTCGAATATCTCGGAGAATGCAAGTCTAAACACCGGGGTGGATGGTGAATCTTTGACGACTTGGTACTCTAGATGTCGCTGGTCAAAGACATTGCGCTCGCCTTTCTGGATAAGGAAGATGACACATTTGGGGTGACCTAGAGTAGGCTCGCCGTATGCATGATAGGCCGCCGTGATACCAGAGGCCAGGCCCTCAGTGGAGGGGTTGGCTGGCAAATCCAGTGAGCCGGCTTGGATGGCTTGGTTCAGCAGGGGGTATTCCGTAGTGGCTAAAAACCTGGAGTTGCATGTTCTCAGTTACAATCACAAGTCGACGGGATTTCCGCACTCTGCTTACTTGTGAAGTGCGGATGTGTAGTGTGAGAGCCCACCGAACGACGCAGCAATTGTGTTAAACTCAACTTGCTTCGCCTGAAGAATTGGTGGGTTGGCTGATGAGTCTTGGTGAACCATATAGTCGGATCTGAACAGGCCGAGAGAGGTAGACTTTATTGACCATTATTATTTTCTTCATTTTCTTCCATTCAAGACAAGCCAAGCGAAGGGAGGTCAGGCACTCACCTGAGTGTATCCCTCAGCCTTGACTTTGAGGTGAATGTTCCAGAGGTTCCCAATGAACTCATCGCCATCAATGACCCTATTCTCGAAAAGAATGTTTAGAAGGATTCGTTCCCAATAGCGGCTAGTAGGAAATGGCATACTCGTCCACAGCCTTTTTCAGGAATTCCTCGTCACGGCTGACAGCCGCATACAGCTCATTGTAGGCGCGTTGCACCAACTTGGCCTGCTCAAAGCAGACCTTGGGGAATGGGCTTGGGAAGATGGTGACAGGCGCGCTGACGGCCGAGATTCCCCTGGGGTCGGCCTCTGTAGAGATGACTGCAGGCGGTGGACGCAGGGCCAGGCCGTTGCCAATGGTCCAATCCTTGATGATCTCGACAATGTGCTGCTGCTCGTGGCTCTCCAGGGCCGGGGGGTACGCCCCGCTCGTCGCAGAGGCCATGTCGCTAAACCTTGCCTTGTCTGTCCCTACAAGATACGATGGTGTATTCGGCCAAGCCTTGCTCACACTGGGAAAGCTGAGCACGTCTTTCTACCTATCTGAGGTAATTGGAGGGTTGTCTGAAGTCCCGGAGTTTTCCTGTAATGAGGGCCGGCCAATGAACCGATGGCTTAGAAATACGAATAGCTAACAGAAAGTCACGCAATGGGATTGAAGCATGCAGATGGAGATGGAAATGGTAGTGTGCTAAGACTGAGAGGCTTATTAATGGATATCTGTGTGGTCCCGTCCGTTTGGGTTACTTCTCTCCACTCGGATCTTTTCTTCGGGCCAAAAAGTGTTCAAATAGATTTGAAAAACTGTACCCTTCCGTATCGGGCCTTGGGATGGATGAGACATGGGCGAGCTAAATTTGAAGTTTGTGCCACAACCCCGGCTAGAGGGCGGGTAGGGTAGGACGGAGAGCAACGGCTGCCATTCGCCTGCATGCTGCTCCCAGCCATTAGTCTGGAAGCTGAGTGCAAACACAGGAGAAAACAGGCGCCCTAGGCGATAGGAACTCGCGTAATGGAAGTTTAAAGCACACGCCAGCAGATGTATGCCCTGAAAGCTTTGGTCGCCCAGGTTTCGCTTTGCTGCAGGGCAACATGCTAAAACTTTCGGGTCACGTGAACGCGCGTGCCTTCCCGTTGCCAAAATGTGCAAGCAAACCGCCGCGTTGCCCCTCACATGCAGCCGGTGCGGTTGCCTACTACTGCCTAACCGATGAATTTGTTATTGCCAGAACCTGGTCTCAGCCACTCGTTTCTTCTTGTAAAGTTCCAACTTCTCCAATACCACCTCCCGTCATCTACACCCGCCTACCTATCCACCACCCCACTCTCTTTGATGACTTAGGCCGGTAGATTGAGTTCCACCCTTGGTGATTTACCATCACCCCGTTTTTATTTGCCTTACGATACGACTAGTAGTCGGGACGCATTGCTGCCGGCTTCTTCTGCACACTTCCGCTGGCTGGGCACTTCCGTCTGTGGTGAACGGATGCCAAAAATATCGTAAGTCACCAAAAGCGTGTTGAATGGATTTTGCGCCAACACCCGCGTCGTACAACATGCCAATACCGTCGCCAACTCATCATCTTCTTCTCTCTCTTCTCTCTTCTGCATCTTTTTCCTCTCTTCTGCATCTTCTTCTTCTTCTCCAACCGCGATTCTCTACAAGTGCTAACAAAGCCCCCAGTTAAGCCAGGTCACCTGGCTTGGTGCGTCCAAACTGATGGATACCGAAAACGACCCATTTGATTGGGATGTCGGTCAGGTTATCAAATATTTGACGCAGCCTGGCAGCCCTTGGGAGACACAGTCTGAATCCATCGCCGAGAGAATCAGGGAAGAGGGCTTTGACGGCCACACGCTGCTAACATTTGAGCAAACATGCCCACGAGAGGAGCTCTATCCATACCTTGATGTTCGGAGAGCCCGTCAAAAAGTATGGCTTGAGCAACAACTAGTCAGTCTTCGTGCCGAGAGCCAAAAGTACAGGAAATGGACGTACGGTTTCAAGAAACAGAAAGCGCTTGGAGACGGGCACGCCAGTTCCCCGGAGCTCACACCCAAGTACAGCTTCAAGACCCTGCAATCAGTACCACTTATCAACCATAAGCCAGAATTTTCTTCAGATCCGGTGCCTTTCCTCTCAGAAAATTGCACAGTCGCCCTACCGACACCTACGCACAACCAGCTAACTCCGCGATCAAATGACATCGACTTGCCAGAGTTGCCAATAGCGGATGCAACTCTCTCAGGTAGTCCCTCACTGCAGACTGCTTATGTCGTCGCAGAGAATTTCAATGCGCAGGTAGCGAGTTCCCTTCTCACAACAACTCAAGTCGGACATCAAAACATTGCTCCTACGGAAGTTCCTCCGGCGCAGGCAGATGCTGCTACCCATACGCAACATCATCAGTCGTTTGGGAAGGGTATTGGGAATGAAAACACCCAGTTAGAAGATGCTGCATCTCTCCCCCTCGCACAGACATCAGACGCTCAGGATGCCTTGGAGCCGCCGCGAAAGAAGAAGAAACTAGCGCCCACAAACATTGCCCGAGAACCGTTACATAAAGTTCGTTCGAATGTCCAGCCATGGGAGAGTAGTTCAGGCCGTGCGTATCTTGGGAAGGGTGCCCTTTCAACCTACATGATTAGATCCTCTTTCGTCCCTGTGAGCACAAAGTTGGTGATTCTACCCAAAGGCGGATTTGCAGTTACCCGGAAAAATCGCCTGCCTCCCGGGCGAAGACTGGTTGTGAATCGCACAATGAATCAGCTCTTGAGGAAAAACGGACGAAAGGAGGAACGGCTGAGAACAGGGACTCTGACTTCCAGAGATTCTTCACCGTCGGATGAAGATGAGGAAGACATTTTTGATCTTGAAAATCTTCCTGATTTGGATGAGGCAACATTGAAAGAAATCGAAGATGAAGAGAAGAGCAATGAGGAAGCCAAGAAAATCCACCGTCAAATTCTAAACCATGAAGTCCAAGCTATTCTCGATGATACTATCGAGGGGATGGCTCAGAGATGGCGGGAGACTAAACTGATCAAGTATCAACGCAAAGCTTATAGACTCTGGGTAGATGCTAGAAAGCGTCATAACAGCCTCCGCGAACGTATTGAAAAGCATCAGAAACAGGCGGCATACTATGACAAACGCATAAAAAAGCTGTCGATAGAAATAGTCACGGAAGTTTGGTTCAAAAAGGAGGATATCGTCGGCCAGGCTCAATGTCTCGAGCAGAGTTTGGAGGACAAATTATACAACTTATGGTTAGCTGGAGTGCTAGAGTCCAGCGAGGCACCTCCTCCTCCTGATGTGCTTCCTCGGCCAGCCCGACGCCAGAGATTACAAAGGCATGATCCAATGGAGGAACTCTTAACCAGTACCGATGAGGAGAGCGATTTCGTCGTGTCAGGCGGCGAGGAAGTTGATGGCGTACCAGGTACAGACGGCCGAGCACCCAACCCCGAGGAGCCGGTGACACCAATAAAATCGGAAGAGTCTCGTGTGGGTGATCGCATGCAGCTTGAGACAGAAGGCACAGCCAAGCGCGTGTCCTATATTGACTTAACCAGTCCTGCAAGGCCCTCTACACCGCCTCAAGCCAGCCTCAACCCTGGCTGTGAGCTCCCAGACCCTCCCTCGGTCCAAGTCATTGATATGGCAGCCATTGCAAGATATTCTAAGAATCACTGGCGCACCGAGGATGATCGATGGAGACTTGCTCTTCACATCCTTCTAAATTTCGGCCATGAACAACGCACTCATGTTCTGGACCTCATCAGGGATAAATCTGACGAAGATATTTGGGATACGTCGATTGAGCCATTCTCAAGGAACACTAAGACTTGGGAAGTACTAGAGAATTCGCCTCCAGACCTACGCAATTACCATCTTTGCAGCGTCTTCCTAAGTTTCGTCAAATGCAAAATTTTGGGCCGCAGCCGAGTTTTACAACTTAATAAAAAGGACAAGGGGACTCTCCTTAAGTCACGCACCACGTTTGAGCCGTTTTGCAAGTTCATTCGATCCGTCTTGCATCTATTTCCCAAAGAAACTCACATATATCGACGACCTGAGATGGATAAAGAGGCCGAGGAGACTGGGACTCCGAAGAAGAAATCCAGCGCAAAAGAGATTGTGCAGAACAGAGCAGCTGCTGAAATGAGAGAACGTCAGAACGAGATGCTACAAGTGCAGCAGGAACGCCGTGCAAAATTACGAAGCGACCTGGCGACGTCTGGAATAATGTCACACGATAAATCCAGGCTGATCATCAACGAAACCAAGGATGAGAACCAATCATTCATTTACATCAACGACGACATCGGCTCGAGAATCAAGGACCATCAAATAGACGGCGTTCGGTTTCTTTGGAACCAAATCATCCAAGATCCTTCAGTTCGCCAGGGCTGTCTGCTTGCGCACACCATGGGTTTGGGGAAAACGATGCAAGTCATCACGTTCTTGGTGGCTATTGCGGAGGCAATCGCCTCCACAGACCAGATGATCCAATCGCAGATTCCGGTTGATCTCCGATCGGTCCAGACTTTGATCCTCTGCCCATCTGGCCTCGTAAACAACTGGATGGACGAACTCTTAACTTGGGCTCCATCTGGGCTTTTAGAGCCTTTCATGCAAGTCGATTCGACAGTTGCCGAAAGAGATCGTCAGGGCATTGTTGAAAACTGGGCTGCAAACGGAGGCGTTCTCGTCATTGGTTACGACCTTTTCAAGAACATGCACGACTCCAACTCGGAAATACGGACGATTCTACGGTCAAAGCCGAACATCGTCGTCGCTGATGAAGCACACAAAATGAAAAATCAAGAGACCAAGCTGAGCAAAGCATGTGCAAATTTCAACACAACCAGCCGCATTGCCTTGACAGGGTCGCCCCTTGCAAACAACGTGGAAGAGTACTATTACATGATCAACTGGGTTGCACCTAACTTCCTCGGACCGATCGACGAGTTTCGGGACATTTACGGTAGGGTCATTGAAGAGGGGCTTTACAAAGACAGCGATGCATATCAAAAGAAAAGAGCCATGAAAATGCTACAGGTGTTAAAGGAGACTGTAGCACCCAAAATCAACAGAGCCACGGTCAAATCCTGTCTCGCTGAGGATCTACCCCCAAAGACAGAGTATGTCATATCTGTTGCGCCGACGCCGCTACAATGCAAACTGTACAACAAGTATCTCGAAGAACAACATGGTTCGTGCGACTCGTCTCAAATATTCAGCACTATTGACGATTTGGGCCTCATATGCAACCATCCTCGCTGTTTTAGAGAGAAGGTACTTAAGGTGAAGAATGGCGATTACGATGCCAAGAATGAAAGCGAGAGCTACAAGTCTTTCCCCAAAGCCATCGTGCCGTTCGCATTGAAGGAAACAAATAGCGGCGATAACAGCAACCCTGACCTCTCGATGAAAGTCGAACTCCTGAACATCATACTCGACCAAGCCCGTGCCGCCGGCGACAAGGTGTTGGTTTTCAGCCAATCCATCCCCACGTTGAATTACCTCCAAAGCCTTTTCCAGCTGACTAAGCGTCGCTTTAGCAGATTGGATGGGAAAACCAACCCCAAAATCCGGCAAGGTGATACCAAAGCCTTCAATGAGGGTGATAAGGAGCTGTACTTGATTTCCACAAAAGCGGGCGGGGTTGGCTTGAACATCCAAGGAGCCAACCGAGTGGTCCTGTTCGATGCAAAGTGGAACCCTGTTGACAGCCAACAAGCGGTTGGCCGTGCCTACCGTCTGGGCCAGAAGAAGAAGGTATTTGTATACCATTTCATTGTGGCCGGGACGTTTGAGGATAATCTGCACAACAAAGCTATTTTCAAACAGCAGTTGGCACAGCGGGTCGTGGACAAGAAAAACCCCATCAACTGGTCAGCCAGGCGGGCGGGTTTGATTCACACCATTAAACCCGTTGAACGGAAGTCTCTCGAGGAGTTCCAAGGTCAGGACACCATTTTAGACTGCCTAATAAGCCACCAAGTTCCCTCTATCCCCGATGGACCGGTGTGCAAAATTGTGTCAGCCGATACTTTCGAGGAGGAAGATACCGTTGTGGTGTTAACCGAGGAGGAACGTAAGGAAGCTGACTCCATGGTTTCCATGAATCGCCTCCGACAAACAAATCCAGCAGAATACGAAAAGCTCAGGAGCGAACAGCAAGCCGCCCGTGTCAGCAGTGCATATCTAACACAACAGCCTTACAGCTCACAACCTTGGAGCGGACAGACAAATACGCAACTTCAAGGAGACCCTGGCCGCATCAGCAGCTCACAGCCGCCAGGCAGAACTCAGCATTTCAGTAATAGCCAGCCGCAAAGTGTAGCTCCTCAACTCAGTGGAACACAACATCATGGAGACGCCAAAGGCGACCATCAGTTGGGCCGGCAGCCCCAGGAGCCCCTTGTAAACCAGAATCAAACAGGACAGAGTACAGGATCACCGGCTGTCCCCATAGTTCCTAATCAGGTATGAATTTGCGCCTCTGTTTTGACCCCCTCTTGCGCAAGTCCAATTTTCTAACATTTCAAAGAACGCTCCTCAGCAATCGACAAATGGGATGCCAATTCACGGCCCAGCCCCTGTACCAAAGCCAATTTTGGGAGCTAATACCTCCATTGGCAGGTCGCAAGTCCCCTCACGCCCGGAAATTCCAACTAGCCAGAAGGCTCAAACTCACGTATCCAGGGCCTCTTCTGGCCCGCAAGAGAATCTCTTTGCTCAACCCCCAAAGACGTTAGCCAAGGAAACATTTCAAGCTGTGCTGGTCGAAGCGACCAACAGTCTTCATGCCAGAGGAATGCTGCCAACATCGAGACTTCTACTGTCAGCAGAATCAATATGCAGCTCCATTCACGAGTTTCGGGACAAAGAAGGTTATGGATTTCTTCCCGATGATCAGCATTGGAGGCAACTTAAGAGACTGCTTGCAAATGATCGATTTGTTTTGGCAACCCTTTCTGGACAGCTAAGCTGTAAATTCCTTGCTTTGGCCGTTAAGAACGAGCTCGAGCGCCGAGTAGATACACTGAGCAAACTTTCTGAGGCTGAGTTTGCAACCCAAATGGAGAGAAGTACAAGGACACCAGACCCGCAGGTATTAAAGCCCGACAAATATCAAAGATGAGAACAACAGTTGACATTATTTAGAATCTTCGAAATATCTCCCGAGGGACTCCACAGAAGAAGTTGGAGGGAGTGGCGGGGAGGGACATCAAAATCATGAGAGAAGCAGCTGACAACAGAAGAAAATCAGTCCGTACGCCATCTTCAGCTAATGACTCGCCACCTGGCAACACGGAGCCATCATCACAGCAGAGCTAAATGGGGAGTAGATCTCAGCGAATGAGGCAGTAATAACCAGAGCATATACTGGTATGATTTGAAGAGAAATAACATATGGACGGAACCCCAAAAATGGAGGCCAGGGGAGTTTGGTTGAATTCGGGATTTATGCCCATGTTTACATTTGTGTTAAGGATACCCATACATCTGTTTAGGACACCACGGGAGAGAGCCGATGAGGGATTCAGTGGCGTTTGATCTAATATTGGGCTGTTTTTAATAACAGGGCTGGTCTCCTCGGCGGTTACGGCGGCAGCCAATACAATGATAATTCTTGCAGACTAAATTGATGGCAAACTAGGTAGGGTGACAAGACGACTACTACTACCTAGGTAGTTATCCAGGTTCATGACTAACGATACAAGCCCATCGGCATGAGGGAAGACTGTCTGGAGATGAAGTGCCGTGAGTGTGTATGTCTGCGGAGTGGTTAGCTCGTACGAGTTGTCAACAAATATTGAAGTAATTCGTCTAGAGGAAGCTAGTGGTCTATGATTTGAAATGTGGGACAAAATCATCGACGTTTGGCACTTGTCCTTAAAGGCCCAATGGGGAAAGAAAAGCCAAAGCCGAAGAAGAGGGGCTTATACATGCGTCAAAATATGGGGGCAGGTACATGCATATGGACATGCCGAGGAGCGGGCGGCGTGCCTGGCTGGGCCAATCAGGGCGCAGGCAATTACTTTTCCGCGAGCGCTGGTGCCCCTGGAGGCTGGTGCGGTGTGCCTCGACTCAGTGGACGGCTTAGCGGGCTGTGGGGCTCCGAGAAAACGGAGGGAGCTGAGTCAAATGGGGTCTGCGAGACAAGCCGAAGCACCCCGACGGGCAAGTACCATGAACGCCGCTGGCCGCCACCTGCGCTTCCCACCCGCCGCTTTTTAAGAAGAGGCCAGAGGACCGACGAGAAAAATTTCCCGTTGCCAAAACCCTCACCAGACACACCTCTACACCCCGCCCAGACCCATTGACCCTCCACCGCCATGGACGCTGTTCTTCGCCAGTCCAAGGCCATGTGCCCGTTCTTGAAATCGGCCTCGCCTTCGACCCTTCGTGCCCTGTCCACCTCGGCACGCCCCAAGGCGTCATCGCCATGCGGCAGCACAATGTCCAACCTGCAGCTGCTCGCCCACCGATGCCCCGTCATGGGCAAGGCTATGGCTGTTCAAACCGCCAAGTACGGCGGTTCTGCCGCTGCTTTCCGGTCCTTCTCTGGCCAGTCCAAGGCTGGCAGGGCCAAAATCCACACCAGCCGCAACCAGGAGGCCAGGGCCGTCGATTCGCCCGTCCTCCAGGGACGCGACAAAGGTGAGGCTTCTTCCGCCCCTCCGATTCCGTTATTTGGCCATGCTAACGCCCAATTGGTAGCCCCAATCCCTCCTCCGAGCATGTTCGCTCAGGCCCGCAAGGCGTCTCCTCTTGCCTCTACTGATGCCTGCACCTCGGCCTCCACCTTTGACTACAATGCCTTTTACGATCATGAGCTAGACAAGAAGCACAAGGACAAGTCGTACCGCTACTTCAATAACATCAATCGTCTCGCCAAGGAATTCCCCCGCGCCCACATGTCGAACGAAGATGAACGAGTGACTGTCTGGTGCGCAAACGACTATCTCGGTATGGGACGAAACCCACGAGTCCTCGAGACCATGCACCAGACCCTGGAGGAGTACGGCGCTGGGGCTGGTGGCACCAGGAACATTTCTGGACACAACAAGCACGCCGTTGAGCTGGAGGGAACACTGGCCAAACTGCATGCCAAGGAGGCAGCTCTTGTCTTCAGTTCGTGCTACGTGGCCAATGATGCGACACTCGCAACTCTCGGGAGCAAAATGCCCGATTGTGTCATTCTTTCTGACAGCCTGAACCATGCATCAATGATCCAGGGTATCCGACATTCCGGGACCAAGAAGATTGTTTTCAAGCACAATGATGTAGCCGATCTGGAGGCGAAGCTCGCATCCCTGCCGCTGCATGTGCCTAAAATTATCGCATTCGAGTCCGTGTACAGCATGTGTGGCTCAATTGGACCAATCGAAGCCATCTGCGATCTTGCTGACAAGTACGGCGCCATTACTTTCCTTGACGAGGTGCATGCAGTAGGTATGTATGGGCCACACGGGGCTGGTGTGGCGGAGCATCTGGATTGGGAGGCGCATCACGAGGGAATGCCCCGCGGCACCATCATGGATCGAGTTGACATTATCACGGGCACCCTGGGCAAGGCGTATGGTTGTGTTGGTGGCTACATTGCCGGCAGTGCCAAGCTGGTCGACATGATCCGCTCGCTGGCTCCTGGCTTCATCTTCACGACCTCGCTCCCTCCGGCCACAATGGCTGGTGCAAAGGCCTCGATTGAGTACCAGATGGCGTACGACGGTGACCGCAAACTGCAGCAGTTGCACACCCGCGCCGTCAAGGAGGAGCTCAACAGCCGAGACATCCCGGTCATCCCGAACCCATCTCACATCGTGCCGCTCCTTGTGGGCAATGCTGAACTAGCCAAATCGGCCTCGGACATGCTTCTACAGGACTATGGCATCTATGTGCAGTCAATCAATTACCCCACCGTCCCTGTCGGCCAGGAGCGACTTAGGATCACCCCGACACCAGGTCATGTCAAGCTGTATCGCGATGAACTAGCCGAGGCACTGGATGAGATCTGGACCCGACTTGGAATCAAGCGCACCTCTGATTGGGCTGCCGAAGGTGGGTTCATCGGGGTAGGCGAGTCAAAGGTCCAAGAGGAGTCACCTCTGTGGAACGACAAGCAACTTGGGGTCGAACAGGCCACCAAGGAGATCATGGCCACTGGTGGCATCCAGAGTGTTACCGAGGCCCTTTTGGAGCGGGATGAGCTGCGCGGGGCTGTTGGCCGTGTTGCCGCAGCCTAAGTGGCAACAGATCTGCTTTCCCCCTTGGGGGACTTGTCGTTTAAATTCAGCGAAACCGGCCGTCATGTAACATTGACGGCCCAGCCGTTGCAATCTAGACACATGAGCATTGAGCGAGCGCATGCACGCATCTAACTCTAGTTACTTTCGTATGAGCACCAGATCTTGAGAGATGGGACCTCATCTTTTGTTTTCATTTTGGATAGATATCTTGCTTATCCGCTGGCCAACTCATTTTGAACAAGCTCAAATGGGCCCATGATGAATGCAATATTTGCTTACCCTTTTCCACCTCGACAGTTCCCCCTGCCCCTACCATCGTACAGTGAATGTAAATTAAATGTGTCCATCTATCAATCGAATTTATGTTTACGGTATTTTTAGGGGCTAAATTATCAGCAAAAACGGCCTTTTTGAGAGCACTCGAATGTGTTCGTATTGGGCTTTAGGGTAACTGCATATATCAAGATGTTGATAGCAACGAGACACCACACTGCCATCCAACATGTCCCAAGACCAGACATGATCAGGAAGGTCAGATACAAGAAATCTTGATGAGCGACAACCAACGAGAGTCGTTCTCTGCCGTCGACTTCCTAACACCGTACAGCTCATCAATGAAAGCCGGGACAAAGGTCCCCGGACCTCGCACCTCGGCCCTGCCCGCGGCCAGCTCAGCCGCGACCCCGAACATGGCGGTGCCGGCCACGGCGGCCACGAGGGTGTCCTGCGGGTAGGCGGCGATCATGGCGCTGATGGTGG